ACCGTCTAAAATGTCGATTAAAAAGTTAGAACTGAAATAGAAACATAACAACTATAGCAGCACGAAGCTGGCAATTGCAAATACGCACATCATAACCAGTAACAATAACAACAATAACAAATTCAACAACGAGGGTGCTAATGACCCTGGTACTCTACGAAACAGCGTCTAAAGTTAACAGAATTGCTCATTTCTTTTTCTTCTTCCCACTCTCCCACAATTCCTTATTCCATTCGCCTTGTTGTGACTGAAGTCCACCCATCAGCCTCTTCGTCTTCTCCTTTCGGTCTCTGTCCTTAGCAGCTGTTTCTTTCCTCTGTTTCCTATAATCACACAGGTTTCGAACCGGTTTTATAGCATTATTCATGAATCACCCTAACAACCAGAAGGTAAGGGAATACTGAAGCAGGAAAATTGGAACGCATAAAACCACGTACTCAGAACAAGGAACATCATGGGGATGCCGGAAAATTCTTCTCTATGTGACTCTCATATCTTCTTCTTCGATTCATCCTCACTGAAACCACCCAAGGAGTGTCGTCAGGAGAGGTAGATATGGCGCGGTCAAACTGCCACAACTGGGAGCTTTCTGCTGCGCGAACTGTTGGGGAGATACAGATAACGCGCATAAAAGTATCAGAAATGAGAAAATTTCATGTTTTCGCCGACGCAAATATAACCTCCTTCCTTTTTGGCAAGTGAATACACCTGATGTAGATTCTAAAACGATGATGAGCCCTTATTCTAAAAAGATGATGAGCACTAATCAGAGAGACATCCAGATAACAGATTGATCATGGACGTCAAAGTTTGTGGGAACAAAGTGCTAAACATTGCGAAGGGGGTCGTCTGAAGGAAAAACTAAGGTTTCGAAAGGGGCGTTGTGCCAAGGTGAGAAAATTGGTGGGATTGTACTTTATCAGTTTTTTACACTGTTATAATAAAGTATCTGCTCTCTTCCCACCTTCGAAAATATGAGCAAATAAAAAATAAAGAAACCAGAGGCATTTTGGAAGTAAGCAGTCTTCGGTTTGACACCTATGTGAGTGTGAGGTCAAACTTTTCAAAAGCTTGGAGGATGAAACTTTGATAAATCTCTTCTAGAGAAGCGCCACGCATTCGCTTAAATCCAGAATAAAATTTTGAAACTCAGTACCAGTGAATTAAAAAAAAACCTGCATGGTAAGAAAGGAAACCCAAGTTTCTGGTAACTATCCTGCAATCAAATGCTAAAAAACTTGCCTGTTCAAGAAGATAGCGTCCTTACGGAGTTCTTTGATAGCACCACGTGTCTCCTTTTTCACCAAATGTCGCAGCTTTTCTTTCTCTGCACGTGCTCCTTGACGTTTCTGATCGCGGCTCATGCGTGGTCTTTCAGGATCGAAGTTCTCTTCAAACCGGGGCTCCAACATTTTCAACATACTGAAACAATATGAAATCTTTGGAACTCATTACTATACGGCATGGCTATACTCACAAACCAGTACCTCTTCTCAGTAACTTCTCGACTCATTTGAGTGAGCCGTGCTCGTAATTTGCATTCCGCTTCCATAGAACGGGTTAGTGCTTCTACTTCTTCAACCAAGACAGATGGCATACGACTCGTAGGCAAACGTTTCAGCAGGTCGACAAAGGGACTTTAAAACATTTTTATAAGGTGACGTTAACAAGCTTGTATATGTAACGTTGTATACTCACGAAAATGTGGCGGTAAAGGTGTGTTCATGGGCAGCATAGAGAATACGATATTTCTGTATAACGGCTACAAGTGCTCGTAACACGCGGCATCGCATCAAATCGGAGTCTTCCATGGATCTATAAAAAGGAAATAGGCTGAATAGGTGCCTCAACGTCATAGAAGAAGTCAGATATGCTCAAAGATATGTTCATATGTTTGATAAAATGTTTGAAGATATGCTATATGGGCGAGATGGGTAGGGGGACAGGCTCCCAACAGTGAGAGTGCACCACTTTCACCGTTCAAACGAGCGCGTAAATGAACCTCAGGATTGCACAGGTGCAGTATGTCGAGATGCTGCAACATGAACGGCAAGCTGTCTACAGCGATCACGTGTAGAGAACAATCAAACGTGAGAGGGTCAGACAAGTAGCGCGTTTGGTTACAGCTGGGCGTATGCCTGGTCGTGCGGACGGCGGCGTCACTTTTGTGCTTCGCCTAATGAAGTGGTGTCGAAATGGCATCCGTTACGCTACGCTCATTTTGGCTCACTTCAGTGATGAAGTGGCCATTTTCGTGGCTGCGGACCCATTATCGGCAAGGAACGTCTTAGGTGATCGTAAAAAACATATTTTTAAAAAAGCGAGCTCGCGTGTCGGAAGATATCGTTTTATTAATGGATTCTTTATCGGGCATTACCTAACAATGAGGCCCTGTGGCATTTTTTTTGGAATTTTTTTTTAAAGCCTCATGGAAAACACCTAATATGGCAGGGTTTAAGACTTGCGACGGCGTGCTTCGGTCTCTAGCGTCGGGCGATAGATACGCATGGTTTCATACTGTAATTGATCGTCGAAGCCGATCGAGCGCTGAGCTTGATCTGCCATGTGATGCTAGCCGTGTCCGATTACAAGAAAGTAGTCCAAAAGAAATTTTGAGCGGGACGACAGGGCCATGAACGGGGGGCCCAACGTACGGATTGATAAAAGGGGACATTTTGCATCACCATAAACCTCCATTTTGAAGCTTTGAGCAGCAAGATCAGCGTAATCGCACTTCAGGGCGATCTACCTTGCCAATAGATGGCGGGTTCCATACATCCAACAGTGGGATGGTCTCAACTCGGGAAGCGCTATAATTGACTTTGCAGAATAACTCGTGATGATTATTGAATACTTACGAGTCATCTTCCGCAAACACCACTGGTAATTCCAACGGCTTCACTTCCGCATCCTTCGGCAAATTCTAAAAGAATAAACTTCAGAGAAACAACATATGTGTAGCAAAACGCTTTTGAATAACAAATAACGCAATCAGCGGCTCAAAGTGGAACGTCATTGTGCCGTTTCATTCTATTAATACTCAACCTGGCAGAAGTTCGTATCTAGTGATATCCCGAAGAGACTTTAACTATTTTTGAACGAAAGTAAACTATGAGGAAACAACAAACCTCAGTAATGTAGAGCATTCTCTTATGCGGCATCGAAATAGGGAACGCAACCGATGGAGCACGTTCGTTTTCTTCGTTTTCTACAGCCATTAGCAACGCTCCTTGACAGAACGCTATGGCCTCTGGTACATAGCTAAACGCATTAACATTATAAAAACAAGCGAAGCAAACGAGCAGACAGGTAGGCACTGAGAATAGGTCACGCCTTTTCTATGCGTCTGCGTCCTCACACTAAGGTAGTGTTTGTCCAATAAATCCTCCTCCAGAACCGCTTTAACCTTAGACAGCGCAGACGAACAGAAAAGGGTGTGGACTGGTCCTTCTCAGTGCCCCCTCCACCCTTTTCTGTTCGTCTGCGCTGTCTAAGGTTAAAGCGGTTTTGGAGGAGAATTATTGGTCTGCGCGATCGCAAAAAAAGGAACTATACAAAACACTTACCGCCTGCTTTCCTCCACATAGTCGCTCACTACTGTTGCAAGAAGTATCTGACGTGTGAGGACAGTCATATTCAATATTTGACATTTCGCAAGGGTTATGGCCGCTAGAGCCATGGCT